AAAGCACGGAAAAAGGTGGTTTAAAATTAACCTAACCCGGTTAAAAAATCTATTGTTCATCAATTAATTTTCATGGTAACCGTAAACCCGGTTTAAGTTCCATGAACAGCCAAAATTAGTGGTCGCATCACGATTTTTCGGTAACCCGGTTAACCGTAATTAGTTAATTAGAAATAACCCGGTTAACTCTCTAGTGCGGCCGCGGCCACTGTCTATTTTGAGACAGTTTTTAACTTCAAGAACAAATTTGATTATAAAACTCAGTGAAATCGAACTCCACCCTAAAAGTCACTTCCGTTTTATATTAAATGAAACGCGGTAAGGAGAACTTACTTTCCCAGTGTGTTTTTTATCTGTTTTATATAGTAGTATTTAGATATTTTGCCCCGGGGTGGGGCTTTTTTAATACTTTTGATTGACGTTTGTTTCCCTACACTGGGGAATTTGATCAATTTTGTTTTAATACTTGTCCAATCCCAGCCCCTTCCCCGCACTCCCGCCCCGCGGAATTTATTATATCTAATAACTCCCTTCTCTGTTCAAACCTGCATTCACAAGGTCTTGAAGAAACCCTGGGGCTTTTTGAAAACTGTACCAAATAAACTAGTTTTATACAAAGTGATATCATTCGTTGTTTATTGACAATCAGTTAAATCATACAATTCTGTTGAATAGTTTATTTTAGCGAATATATAGTGATAAAGAACTTATTTTTTTAACGACTCTGTGGATAAATGCAAAGTCCTATGATATGAAAACGTTACAGTCACTTGGCGTTCTACGAGAATACCACGGTACAAACCGCACATAGAGAACTATATCGTCACCACACAAACGAGAAGCCTGGGGAGAGACTCATTTCGTAGTTGCTTGTGGGACCGTTCCTGGGGACAATTTTGTTTTGCCTCCAGAAACGTCAGAAACGGCCCCACAAACGACCGCGAGCGACCGTGAGCCGAGTCTCTTTTTGAGAAGAGATTAAAGTCCAACGCTCACTTCTACTTAGACCGCAAAGCAGTCGTTTTTTCTTCCCTATTCGGAAGGCAAAAAGCACCGTAAGCGTGATCCTCGCGCGTGAAGCGCACGAGCCTCACCTCCGATCCCCACCGTTTCCACAATCGCTCCAGACCATTCGTTCGAATACCGCCCGCGTCGCTCGCGTTCGCAAAAAACAGGACTGTTTTGCAGTCTAACTTCTACTCTCATTTGGCACTTCCATGAATTATGTAAGGATGTAAGACCTCGACAGCAAAATTCTCGTCAGATAAAACTAAACGAAGTACACCTCGTGCCAAGTGTTCATAGCTCCTTGGTTCACGCCGGTGACAAACCGCTTGGGGCGGAGTTATTCCTTTGATCATTTGGCAGGCCTGACTATTTTAAAACACAGACTGGCTCGAAAATTAAAGCAAGAGGATAAAAGCAACGCGTAAAATCTCACGTGCACTGTATAAAATATATCCGGTAATAAATGGCACATATCTGGCATCTCGGTTACTTAGTAATAAGACTGCTAAACTTTGTTCACCAAAAGTGATTCTATAAGACACAATATGTAACGAATGCTTGTAGTACTAAGGCTAATAAATATAATAACTTATCAATACTACATTTGGATAAAATACATCAACACCAGTGTTAGATTGTTTGGAGATGATATCTACCGTTTACTGAAGATCACCGCCCTTTGGACAAATATGAACTTTTTTTACTTTTCACTGTTTGTAATAAAGCTTGAAATTATTAGCAACTAGTCTGAAATCGCAGATTAAGAAGAAATGAGAATGTATTTTACATGGAACTACTTGCGCTCGATCTGAAAAGTCGAGGCGGGTTTTAAAATATACGAACAAAAAAACAAACCACTCGATCCAACGACTGCGTTTTCGTTCCGTTGGGGTCGCAATCATGAGAGTTACTGAAAAGGCCCGTCATGTATCCTGTACAATGAAGTGTCCTTCCTTCTATGCCTGTATGTAATGCAAGTATGTCGTCCGCAGGAAACAGATGCTGCGGAGTCTAAATTAAACTCTTTTTTATACACGAGACGAGGAATGCAGAAACCACAAGTGAGCAGCCTTCACCCATAACACATGACGACTTTATTGAAGGAGACGAAGATCCCTTTGTTTGGTTTACTGTAGAAAATAAAACAAGAAATTACTTTTGAATTTCCCACTTTGGCAGCTCATGAAAAATACCGGGGAAACATCGCAAGTTACGTTTCATATCAACATCGGTGTATCGCGAATTCAAAGCGTTATAACTCGATGATGTGCAGCGTTCAAATCGATGATGCAAGCCAAATCCTGAATTAATTAAGTATGAACTTTCACTTAATGAGTAATTTCTTTCAGATCGATTTTACGATAAAAACTAACGAAAAAAATCACGACGTTTCGACCTCTCTGAGGTCATTTTCAAGTGTGAGTAAAAAAGATATAATAATGACCTCGAAGAGGTCGAAAAGTCGTGATTTTTATCGTTAGTTTTTATTGCACAAACTTTTACAGATTTACTTACCAAGAAAATAATCTTTCTCCATTCAAAGATCCATCGTGCTTTCCCTCTGAAAGAACCAAAATGCGTTACAAACTAAAATGCAGTCAAACCTCTACTTTCAGGTACCTTGTGTCGATGTACAAATTCTCCTTACTCAGCCTAGGATTTATTTCGTAATACGACTTTAGAGAAATTTCCCCGCGATGACAAGAATTTTTCTCAGTGACTTGAATATCTGGAATAGGCTACTGCTGCATCGATAACTACACTTCAAGAGACATAACAAGGTAATCAATCACGGATAACAATAAATCGAGGTGTTTTCTGATCTTTTTTCTTTAAAGCAAAAGACTGCATTTGGCAATATATATCACTATTATTGCCTACTGGCATAATTTAAGGACTAAAAATACGATCTTTTTTTATCATCAACGCGTTATCATCAGCCAGTATCACACGACACAAACAAAGCAGGCACATAGAAAATCGAGAAAAATATATGCTCACCATGACCTGGTCCCAGTTCCACTCCGATATACGTGTCTTTGCGGCCTGGCAATGGCCCGATATACTTTACAACTCCGCGGCCAATCTCTCCTCGTGACCTCGTTACCAGTACCTCCATTCCCACCTGAATATCGCTGCTTGACTTGGGCGCAAATGGCTTGGTGAATACTTTCGTATCTGTAGGGGACGCGGTGACTGCTGAATGGTATGGAGTGGTTGTAAGAGACTGGGAACTGGTAGAATAACTTGACGAGGAGGTGGAATGGTGACCAACATCACGCAGAGAATGGGAGTAAGGAGAAGACGTGATGTGGTACGAAGAAGTGTAGTCGTCTTTGCTGCCAAAAACGTCGTTCAGAGACCCCGTTGCTAAAATGGAAAATGTAAGAACCGAGAAAGGTATGTAAGACATTCAACAACTGTTGAGAACGGTAAGCTTTTCAGCTGTCGCCAATGTTGCATTAGCTTACATTTTCAATAATTATTACAATTAACACATAAGCAAGCCTGAGTGCGAGCTCGTTTTCACTCAATCACAAGGCCAAGCCACGTTTTTTAACAACTATTTACGAAAATTACGGGCTTACTCTGGTCACCTGCTCGTCTGGGGTTTGGGTACAAGGACGAGCAGGTGGCGACTAGCATGTCATGCTATGTAGTATCCCTCGCAGCCCTTATTTGGATCGTCACACAACGCTAGGGAGATGAGCGCTACGCGAAGATCAAGGCACAGACAAGGTCACTTGTATTATGCCAAGCTCCTGATTGTGCCAAGTTCGTAATGATCCATTTACCTCCATGATATGAATGAGGTCTTCTTCTACGCCCACTGATTCTGTCAACTTGTTGATACCGAGACGAGTCTTGACTGTAGGCGCTTGCTCTTGGTTGCCTCGTCGCAGCATCTGTCCTGTAGTCGCGATCCCACGAAACGACCGACGAAGTGGAAGACTCGGAGCTTTGTGTGCGCCACCTCGGGTGAGTTGCAGTATGGTGTCCCAAGCCATGCTCTAGATCATCAGAGACATCGCTGTCTTCTCCTAACGAGCTTACGCGGTGCCTCGGGACAGTGGCCCTGCTTCTGTGCGAAGTACTCGCAAGCTTGTCTTGGAGGGATGTATACGACGACGATTGTCTCGTGGCTTCAGACCTCGGCGAGCCGTAGCCGTTCATTATAACCGGAGATGACACTGCAGCGTCGTGGGATCGGGTGTAATTCGTGTCCAACGAACTGTACCGAGTTGGTCCGAGCCCCAAAATGTCGCTTCTCGTGGCGAAGCTAACAGACCTTGCTGTAGGTTCCAGATCTGCATACTTGTGTCTGTCGTATGAGGTATATTTGTCGAATTTCTTTGACAAGTCTGTTTCGCTCTTGGCTCTGCCGAGTCTTGAGCCATTTCTGCTTGTTATCGTTTTCATTGTGTCCAGTTCTTGCTTTGCTTGTTTTAGTTTTGTTTGCAGACGGTCGTTGTCTCGTTGAAGTTGTCTGACCTGCTGCTCGAGAGTGTTGTTGAGTACTTGAAGCTCGATCATCTTTCCTCCGGCTCTGTTTGATTCCAGAGATCTCCGCCGCAAACGTGTTATCTAAAACATAAAAGTTAACCACACAAATGTTACACACCGGCCAAAACGACATTAAAACTAAGAATTACCGCTTAAAAGAAGGAAATGAATACTTTAATTTGAGGGTCAGACTATAATGGCAGAATGACAACCATGAATCGGGACTCAGTAAGTCACACAGGGCACAATGCTTTGAAATCTTTAAATAACTTAGTTATCACTGAAAATTAACCATACTTGGTATTAAAGTGTAACTGCCTAAAACACAAACTTGCTATGAGAAGCGCAAATTCGCAAGAATATCTACATTACGGTTTCACAATGTGGCCAACAAACCTCTAGTTGCAGGTCTGAATTGAGCTTGTTCATTTCTTCAAGGCTCAGTTGATTGACAGTTTTCAGACTCTCTTGCTCATCCTTCAACTGCTGATTGGTTCTCTCCAGTCTCCTCACAGACTCCTGCAGTGAATGGATTTCCTCGTCTTTCTCTCGTAAAGTTCTGTTGAGATCCACCACTTTCTGCTCCAGTTCATGTGTTTTCTCGTCATCTTGCTTGGCGAGAGAGGCTACAGTCTAAACAGACAACGTGCAAGTTAATAGCCCTCTGTGTCGTCGAACGCGGTTAAGAGCGGGAAGAATGTAAGCCCGAGTAAAGAGACGCTCATTTGCGACTGTCGATCGAAAGAAAACGTTAAAGCAATGACCCACACCTACACATATACATTGCGAGTCGGATTGGTTGATAGTTGCGCGCGAAATTTTCACACCAAGTAACGACCAATCAGGTGGCAATTGAGAGGGTAGCTTGAAAATGAGCAAGACAAAAGAGACGTCTTTTACTCGGATTACAGAAATAGCAAACAGACCACTGATGCTGAAAACAAATAGCAAGAAACATAGCAAAACTATGTTTGAGCCAGATAGTCTATTTGTGTAAAACGTGAGCACTGTTGTTTCCAAAACTACCAAAAAGATGGAAGAACCTGTCAACTATTCGTGACTTTTTGGCGGAATAAACGTGTAATGCCTTTAGCTAAAAGGTGCTTAAAATATCACTTTTCTTCCGAACATATAGCCAAATTTTGTGTTGATACTTAAAGTTTCGGGCTGCCTGTAACCGGAATTATGAATTGAGGCCTAGTGAATTGAAGTTCTTTTAGGATAACTGAATTTCGTCCTAGCCATTATGTTTGGGTACATTGGTTCAATTTCCCAACCTTCCAACTTAACTCTACGGGATACACCCTTCAAACCAGCATGGTTGCATCATGAATAGTGCAACAACAAGAGAGTGAACTCGTTGTTTCCCTGGTTTCAACTAACCTGATTATTTTGTAATCTCAAACAATCTCAAAACATCTATTAGGTTACTGGAATTACGTTTGTTACTCATGCTTTACGGCAGACCCACCTCGATGCTCAGCATCTGCTGCTCAAGGTCCTCATTCCTGGACTTGACTCTCCTAAGCTCTGCTTCATAATGAGCCGCCCTCTGTCTGAAATCATCGACCAGAGTGTCCCTTTCCTTTCTAAGAGCTTCCAAATCAGACGATAGTTTCAATGCAGATGGTCCGCTTTCTCCATTCACAGTAGCAAATGCACTTCCACGGCTTGGAATAACTGATTCATGCGACAATGGAGGAGACACGACACGGCGAGAGGAATGCTCAGCTCGACTTCGAATTGAAGAAACTGGGCCTTGCCCTCTGAATGCCCTGCTGGGACCACTGTGGGAAGGTACTGGAGGTGAACCTCGCCCGTAGGATTCTGCAAGGAGTTCCGAAGGGCTTCCAGTTCCCGATGTTCTATGCCTCGGACTGTTTACAGATGGTGTGCTGCTCTCAGTTTCTCCATGACTAACTCTTGAGCTTCTAGATGGCATCACAGGAGGAGCTGCTGCTGAAGATCCATTACGTGAGACTACTGGAGGTGTACCTTGTCTAAACGCTCTCTCCGCTAGGAGCTCTGATGGGCTTCCTGCTCCAGATGTTCTATGTCTCGGACTGTGCACTGAAGGTGTGCTATTCTCACTTTCTCTCTGACTTTCCCTTGAGCCTGTTGGTGACATCACTGGAGTTGCTCCTGTAGATCCATTACGAGAGGTTATTGCAGCTGTGTCAGTAACCTGTCTATACACTGTCTCCATATGCAGCTCTGTGGGGTTTCCTGCTCCTGATGTTCTATGTCCTGCACTGTGCACTGAAGGTGTACTATCTCCACTATCTCGGTGACTCAAATGCGAGCTTCTTGGTGATGCCACAAAAGGACTGGCTCCTGCTGGAGGTTCACCATGAGCAGAGAGCACAGGAGTACTCCTCTGACTTGAGTGAAGGCTAGCATCAGCATCCTGGCCTGATCCGCCTCGAGGGCGAACGCTGGTGCTGTGATTGGACCCTGTGGGACTTTGCCTTACAACAGGAGATATCGATGACCCCTCTGCACCAGAAATGGGTCCCCGACGACTTTCCAAATGTGATGCAGAGTTACCAGTTGTCAGTAGCTCCACTGAAATTGGAACTGTTCTAAAGAGGCTTCCCGATCCACCAAGGCTTTGGGGTCTCAATGGTGGTTGTGTCTGGGTGTGAATGGACCCAGGAGGGCTTCCTCTCGAGGCCGCTGGTACGCCTGTATCCGACTGGCTGCGACCTCTTGGAGACATAATAGGAGATGGTAAACCAGATGAAAACAAAGAACTACTGTGCACTGATCCTGCCGGGCTGTGTCTTTGAGTAGATGAGGTGATTTCATTAACACTTGGTGATACGGCTGGTGTGCTGTAGGTTACATTGGTATCAGCAACAGGAACTGTCACAGCATCCAAGACAGAGCCAAGAGGACTGGCTCTGAGAGACGAATGGGCATGTTCTCTACGCTGCTCTTCAGTTGTAGTCTGGACAGTGGGTGGTACACGGTCTGTTTCTTCTGTGGAGTCATGATCTCCAACCGGTGTGGCATGTGGGCAGGTGTATCGTGGAACAACATTTCTGTGCTCTTCTTCAGTCAATGGGGTACCAGTGATAGGAGGTGGGCTGTCATGCCTAAGGGCCTCATCTAGTAAAGGACTTATAACGGAGTCGTCTCTTGTTCCTGCCTCACTAGGTACACTGGATGTAAAAGGTAGACAGGAAGATTAGTAGAAAGTCAAGAGTCTATATACTCGAACTTGACTGATAGTCTTCATATTTTATGTTTTCATCCTGTATGTCAGGAATACAATCATTCATATAATCTATAATACCAACAGCCGAATCGTTCTTTTTACTAAACTTGGCTCCACATATAACAACCCTCTTAAGTAGCAATGAGGTTTTTGTCTACATGTACACTGTCATGTAACCTTCCCTTTTGTGTTTTTCTGGATTCCTTGCTTAACTAGCCTCTTTTGCAAGCATTATTTGTGTCATCATGCAATGCCTCTCCCAAGCTAGTAAGGAGAAGCACTGTTTGACAACATGATATGGCTGTGAAGAAGATTAGAATCAAACCATCCACTTCAAAAAAGATGTTAATCAGTCTGCTGAAGCAACACAAGAATGATCACTTGAACCTAATTACATGAACTAGTTCCTATGCGTCTCCCCTTTCTGAAAAAGGTCACTGATGGGTTCGACTCCTTTGGGAAAACTTAATTTTCATGTAGCTTGCGTCCTACTCAGTCTGTCAAACAAACATCCGTCATACGTCCACCAACACGTTTAAGTCATTGATTTGAAGATGATTAACTACATGGAAATGGATTAAATTATGGACAACTTGAACTAAAAAATAAAGATATTACAATGTCGCATTTGATTTAGATTCCCTTCATAACTTCCACGTGAAAACATATTGGAGAATCATTTCCTGCCCTTATTACATAATAATGCTCTTAAAACTCTGGTGACAGCAGAACTGACTGACCTATTGACAGGACTGTCTCTTGATGACACTCGGCTGTCATGCTCACTGTGGCTGCTAGGAACTGGAGAGGCAGATGAGGGCGGGGCTGGGGGCCTTGAACTGGAAAGTACTTCTTCTGCTTCATTTTCTGTGAGAGATTCATAGAACAAGTCTACAAAACACATAACATACAACAGTTGTTAAAAAGTCACAGGGCATGACTTAAAAACACACTCATGAACCAGTTGGCCCATCATTTTTCAGGCTTGGTCACCAGTGCAAGAGAAACCTGAAACTGAGCTGTTCAATGCCTAACATGCCATCAGCTTATTATCATAATGTTTCCACAGCATCAAGGCATTAACTAATATTTGCCACTTTGCTGGATGGGCTACTAGAGTCTGATAAGTTAAGAAGTCTACACAGAACAAATAGACTTCTTATTATTGAGATGAACTTCAAATCTATATCTACCACTCTGATCATCAACGTCTCCACCATCAGGAAGTGACTGAAGGCCATCACTTTCACCTGACAGGTCTCCTGGTCGAGCCCCTGCTTCCAGTCCTGGATGCAACAGAACAGGACTTGACGGCTGCAGTTCTTCTGTAGAATCTGGCTGAGGTGTCAGTATGGGAGGGTCATCATCATCATCATCTCGCTGACCAGCAAGGGCACTTAGGTCAACATCAGACATTACTGGTGATGGAACTCCACTTCCTGGAACCCAGGAAGGCTCACCATGGCTGAGCTAGATGGGGGAACAAATTTGAAACAACTGGATATTTTTTTGCTATGCAGACAACAGTTTTAGCAGTAATAATAACCATGAACAGAGATGATGCATCTAGCTGATCAATTTCTCATTTCTCATTATCAGTGCTCTCCTTGAAACAGCAATGAAAAGCGCAAACTCTTGCTGAGCTCTTCCTTCACTTACTATAGATAAACGGGAACAAACCTGACAGGTTCTTGGATTGGACTGTGAAAATATACTTCACTTCAAAATAATTTTGACATATTTGTACTGTATGTTAAGTTTACAGCTTATTCATTATTCATTTTTTAGAATACTTATTTCACCATGCAAAATGCGCAAAAACGGAAACAGTTCAAAAAACAATTTTAATTTTCATGTGGACAAATGAATCCCAAATAATTCTATTTGTCTAATATTCTTCACAACTGGGATGGATTGAACTGCTGAAATTTCCAGTTATTATTGCCCAAACGTTCCAAATATTCACGATTTAAATAAGGTCAAGTTTATACTGTAACCATTACTTTTCAGAAATCTTTCTGTAACAATCATTGCCATTTTCATTTATTAATTTTGCACTACTTTCCTTTAAGGACTTTGCTGTGTTGATAGCTATTAGTGACCATAGCGTAATAATTGGTGCTATACAAAATTATACAAAAATACATCAAAACATGGATCTACTAGTTCCAAAGCCAATAATATCTGAAACATCAGGGAGAATTAATGGAAATAAATAAATGGAATATACTTTTAATTACCACAAAAACATGTTTCCGAGTCATGGTGCTCTTAAATGGTAAGTCTTTCAAAAATACTATCATCAAGCATGTAGACTACTGCAATTTGCTTAAAGCTTGTGTACCTACATTAACTAAATGGACAAGAATCCTGTAAAACTTACTATTGCTCTGAAATTGTCTCGTCTTGCAAAACAGAACACAAACACTTAAAGGTGTTTCAATTTTGGTACTGAATATGATTTTCTTAACACCACAAAAATAAAAGAAATATTACATAGCATGAACCAAGCCGGAATTGACATTGTTTACAAAAATTGGGCACTGAAAACAATTCAGTTTGAAAAGAATGAAAGAAAACAACATTCACAAAAGTTCATTGAATATGGTGATCAGATCATTGTGAATTATTTAAAGAAGAACTCTTTGAGCATCACACTGCTATTTGATTTCTCTAAGTGACCTTCTTAAAATTAAGCTACGCTCTAAGAAAACTGTTTGCATCTCCGAACAGATAATGTCTGCAGACAAATATCAGAGCATATTTTTATAATAATGCCAAATGGAGGCTATTGCTTTTGTATGCAACAAAGAAAAACCCAATCAGAATTGTAGATTCTAAATAGAATATGGTTAGTGCATGGTTACTAATGATACTAGCATGAAATTCAACTTGACTCTACCTGATGCTGGAGCAGCTCTCTGTATAGTGGACTCATTTCATTCGCAGTCTCAGTTCGGTTCTCCCTTGATTCCATGTCTATAAGTGTACAATGTATGAGATTGCTTTGCTTTCAGTCTCATTACATCAAACTCTCATTTCCCCTTACCAGTTTCCATTAATTTCTTTGATGCTAGTTCTGAAAATTAGGTTTTATGACAAAATGGTCTCTTCCTGGATTAATATATCTATTTTTTTGTAAGCTACATGTATACATTGACATTGTGAGGAGTGATAATATGTTGGTGGTTATGGATAAAGGATACCACTTACCCGCATGTAAATTTTAATATTACACAGTTACTATTCTGTTAATATTTGATTCCCTTCTTCTTCTGCCATCTTCCTCTGACACAATGCATATGAATGGCCTTTTTTGTTTTGAATCTAAATTATTACAATAAACATAGAAAAATCCCTGCCAAAAGATATAAATATGGCTTATTGACTTAGTGTGAGGTAAAGATGCAAGATGGCTGGCTATTGGCCAAGTCCTTTTTACACTTGTTTATGGACCAAGACAGAGTTGAGGTCCATAAACATGNTGAGGCCCGCCCGCACGGGTAGCTAATCACATTGCAGGATTCAGTTCATCTTGTCCACTCATGGAGCTAGCCATATAACAATAATGTTTATTAGTTTTATTAGCAGTTACACATTGAATTGCAGAGTATTGTTCATAATTTTGTTAGCAAGTAGGACTTTGCACTGTTAAAATAATTTCTTACCAAGTGGAGGTCTGTCGTGCACATCCACTGGCTCTGTTTCACCATCAGAACTCACATCACCAGTATTGGTTTGTATCCCCCTGTCATTTTCATCAAACATATATCCATAGTTGGCTGTGGGCGAAACATTGACAAATTCAGTACACTTGGACAAGTTGAAGCAATACTATCGTATTTAGTGTCAACTGCTATATGGTCAGTGGTTGGCACTGACCCAGTTCAGACACCAAACTTTTCATAAATTTGGACCAACCCAAATTATGAAAAGTACGCCTGTTGATTCAGATGTTGAACTTAATTTGCCGAACTTAAATTAGTTTGAACCAAGTCATTTTGAAACGTCAGTGGTTTTCAGGTGAAGTGTAAACTGCTTGTAAAATATGTTATAATGATTTATGCATTAGGTTCGGAACATAAAAAGTTCGATGTCTGAATCAAAGCTGTTCCAAAGCCAAAATACCCAGCTGAGCTAGGTGGGAAGAACGACTGAGATGTTCCAAATTCAAATAGCCATTCTTAACTGATTCAGATGCCAAACTTTTCATGTACTTTTAAATTCAACATATTAGGTTGGGCTCATGAAAAGTTCAGAGTCTGAACTGGGCCTCACTTTTTTGAATACTAGCCAGTGGACTAGTAAGCAAAATAAATCACTACCTACAAGGACAAGCCACTAGTCCATAACACCTCCAGAAAAAATACACCTAGGAAATTAGAAACCATTCCACTCCTTCTGGTGTCCCTCCCTTCCGCCAACAACCTTTCATTGACACTCGAGAAGGCTAGTATATATATTGAATGAAATAAAAAGGAATTATTATAACACTTTGTTGTCTATATTTGCTTTCTTTATTAATACAGTCAATATAAAAGTCCAACTTAATACTGGGTCAAAAAGTAAGTGGAGCACTATTACGTTGTGATGCTTGAGGCCTTGTGGGGAAGATTGCAAAATACTATTTGCTCAAGTGGCAAATTGATTGAAAATAGCCAGCTTAAACAAGCTTGCCACTCCAACATTCTAATAAATGATTACATGTACAGCAAGTTCAGCAAATAAGGGAATTGTACCTTCTTGAATTATTATAAAAATAACATCACTGTCTTCATTAACTTCAAATTCTTCAGTAGGAACAACATCACCACCAATAGCTAACTGACAGGTATGCGATCCAACTGGAACACCAACAGTGCCTGACTCATACAGTCCTTCATCTTCCTTCCAGTGGAGTTTAACAGAACCGGCCTAGAAAATATTGACCCACACCTTAAAAAGTTGCTACTTAAGTCATAAGTTGAGAACTACATGCAGGGTCAATAACCCTGTTTGCTCGATCTGGCGGGGTTCCAGATAAGTTTTCAAGGCAAGGTATCAATAAGGAATTCCAATGGGTCAATTCCCACTGTTCCCATCAAATCATTATTTAAATTTTCAATTAATTTGTTGGGTCATGTAGCTGATCTTGTTGGGTTTTTGACCTGAGATCCCTCACTTATCTGGATCACCGTCTGGAGTCTGGGGTATTAATTGTGGTGTCTAAACACAGGTCATGAAATGCCAGGTTGAATGGGTTTGAAACCATCTAATTTACCATCTAATTGAACCCTGGGAATTGAACCCACCTCAACTCTTGGCTGCAAAATCAGAATGGAACATGTATCTTAAAATACCTGATTATATAGCGTGTCCATCCCATTCCATAGAAAACTTGTCTGGAGCAAAAACTTCTCAATCATTCAACTTTCAGGTGGCTTTATTTTGTATAAAACTACTTATTAATTAGCGAATAAGTTCAGGGTAAAAGGAAATATTTTTTCCTTGGCATGCCTCTCTCGCAACGTCAGCGATATCTTATAAAAAATCAACTAATAATTGAAGAGGCATTGTTCGAAGTAATCTCGTTTAGCAAAGATAGTGGGTTTTAATGACGACGAACAACCATTAAAGTTTAATGAAGAGCCATCTTGTTAAGTTAAACACGTCTGTCTAAATTAAAATTGTTTTGACGTGCTAAGTAAAACAATTTTAGTCGAAATTGCCCCTAACTCGAAAGCGAAAGTGGAAGCAAAACAAATACAACCGTTGATGAAGAGGGGGCTGAAACATAAGCTCAAGCCACAGTGGTCAAGCTTGCACAAAATTCAAAATAGGCTGCCGAGAAAAATTGACACCAATACCAGTTGCATTCATTAGATAAGCTTTTCGAGCCACAATACTTTCAATAACGTTTCACTTAAAAAACTTGCTCTCACGAAGGCTGTTCGGGACCACCAAAACGCGTTGTCAAAGGTAAACAAACGAAAGCACAATCAATTTCTTCAGTTCAACTTCCGGATATCCCACATTTAACAAAGTATTGTAACAGAACACCAAGAATCAGGCGATGTAAATGAAAAATCCCTGGTTTCCTGCAGAAATAGTTACGATAAACCAGTTGTATGTCTTTACTTACCAGTGAGCTAATGAGATGAACTTCTCTCTCGAAGCATGCTCTCGACTTGACCCAGCGAAAGCGAACTACAACACTGTCCACTGTGGGAGTTCTTGTAGTTCTACCAGGCTCTGTTGACCACAAACAAATTGATATTCAAAAACGCATTTGTCTTCAATCGCCTTATTCCCAGCGGAGAACACCTTTCATCATGCTTTCACAACTCAAACATTGAACTTTTTACACACAGTGAGTAAAGCTTTCTAGACGATTGCACATCAACGGTAAATACCTGCATAAGCCGACGAACAGACCAAACAATGTAACTGCAAGTCATCTTCGCTGCGAACTTCTTCTTGGCAAAAGGGACACTGCATCTCTCGAAAAAAAACACTTCTACTTCTTCATCTATTGTTACTACTAGAACATTTCATTTGTTTGTTGAAAGCAAAAACTGCGAGCCATAACCCACTTTTAGCTCTGACAGGAAGTCTCGTCTATTTGCATGTAATTTGATACAACTCTTCACCAAGCCTCCGCTCGTGATGCAAGGGGTGAACTGGTACATGATCAGATTTCTGTCCGAGCTCTTGAAAAATCGCATTCCCTCACATGCACAGACCATTTGTCGAGAGAAAAACGGAATAAATTGCTACAAATATACCATTAAATTTCAATGGTAACAGTCCACAATGTTTTGATTCCGTTTTGTAGCATTGATTAGCTCCACCAGTCATCAAGAACCTGGCCTGAGGGTTGTACTCAGCATAGTTAGTTTCATAGTGGGACGCTCCGCCCCAAGGTCCAAGCCGAAAAACTTTTTTAACCGAAAAGGTACCCCCGCCACATGCCTTTGATACCCTGTTATCGAGCCTAGAAAATAATATCTCGCTGGTATCTTTCTACCCAAAAAGGTCCAGCAATTTATACCCCACCCCCCTAAAAAAATCACCAGTCAGTCCACAGACCCTTGAGTTCGTCGTTATCGTTGGATTAGCGAAGTATTAACCCGGCGCGTGGGATACACGCGCTAAAACGCAACGGGGTGGGGATGTGGAAAGATCAAATAATTTTTTTGCGCCCGCTCTCGCGCTCGAAAAAAATTCGTAGCAAAAAGATGAACGTCTATGGACAGACTACAAAATCACCAAATTGATACTTTCAAATCGCAAAAAGGCCTTTGCACTTCAGTGATACATCTGTACGAGATATTTTGAATGACCCTTTGAAATACCTAATTGTCAATTTTTCCTACTTTTCTCCATACTTATTAAAACTCGTGAAAACTCAATCATTTTACTATACCTACCTGCAGCCTGAAAAAGGACTCCTTTCGGGCGGAGCCTCTCCCTATAGTTCATCAGAGGACCCTCCCACGAAACAAAAGCATATCATCCTGGTTTTTAGCCAGGCGTTAAGAACACTGGGTTTGCAGAATACCGGTAAAGGATGGTTCTCTGTCAAGGAGAAAGTGATTTATTTTAGAGACTTGAATAGTAACATGGTTCCAAGTCTGGTGGAGGGACAGGGGGCGGGAGTCCGGAAGAATAGGGGGAGGAGGGGTACGGGAGGCGGGAGAGGAAAGGGCGGGAAGCGGGAGTTCTAAGAAGGCGGGAAGCGGGAGAAAGGTGCGAAACGCTAATTTTTTTAAATTCAAAAATGCGTTAGAATACTGTCAAAAACAAGAACCCAAAATATATTTGACTTGCATTAAACGTCTTCTCAGTCACTTCTTAGCAAACGAGCAAACGAAAATTTGCGCTTGGGCTTAAAAACAGGCTTACTTCCGGTGAAATAGTAAACCCGTTTACAGTGGTTACGTCATAGGTCATGAAATGTC